TCAGACTCTACTCCAGCCTCTGAGCCTTCTGTCAGCGCTAAAACCATCACAGCTCTGGCGCCAACTACAACAAAACCCTCAGCGTTTCCTGTAACTTCAACAAACCTTTCAGCTCCAACGTCTTCCTTTGTGATTACAAGTAAATCTACAGTGATGTCCATCTCTACAGCAACCACAGCTCCTCCAAACACCCCAGCCTCTGTAGTAAAGGCTCCCTCAGTTAGTCCAGTTCTTACCTCTACAGCTAGCAAACTGGCTTCACAGACTGTACTGCCTCCTCAAACTACTACTTCTGTAAGTAAACCCAGTCTTGTAGCTACTTCACCCCCTGTCTCCACCAAACCCCCATCAATAACCCACAGCCCACCCATCCCTGTTGCTATCTCCCAGCCTCCCCCTGCTAAGTCAAATTCAATTAGCACTTCCTGCAAACCTTCTCTAATCTCAGTTACAGTAGACTCTAAAACCCCAGTGACAGCATCACCAGCCTGCACAGTTACAACAAAACCATCTTCTCCTGACCCGGGTACTCTCTCTAAAACAACAGCTCCCACATCAGCTGCAACCTCAGCCTCTGCATCTGGGGCCCTTTTCAAGCCTACACTCACCTCTACCCTCACAGAACAAAATAAAAGCCCTCCCTCACATGTAACTGCTCCTGATATCTGTCCTCCCACAGCTAAAACCCAACCCAGCCCTGCATCTATAACAACTCCAGCTTCAGTTTCTTCAGCTAAGCTTCCTCCTGCGACTAAACCCACCTCTGCCTCGGTCTTGTTAGATAAAACACCCCCTACTCTCACACCAATTCCAGCACTTGCTACTCATGCAGCAGTTTCTACAGCATCTACTGCTCTGGGTCATATTCCAGTTTCTTTATCTAAAGATCAACCTGCTCCTGCTCAACCGCAAATTTCCCAATCTAAAACCCCTCCTGCCCCTGTTCAAGTCCCAGTTTCTATCTATAAAGATCAGCCAGCTCCAGCTCAAAAGGAGCCTGCTCAATCTAAAGCCCCTCCTGCCCCTGTTGAGGTTCCACTTTCTGTCTGTAAAGATCAGCCTGCTCCAGCTCAGATGGAGGCTCCTCAATCTAAAACCCCTCCTGCCCCAGCTCAGCCCCCAGTTACTGTATATAAAGATCTGCCCGCTCCAGCTCAAAAAGTCCCTCAATCCAAACCCCCTCCCACCTCTGTTCAAATCCCAGCATCTGCAAGTAAAGATCCATCTGCTCCAGCCCAACAGGAGGTTTTTCAATCAAAACCCCCACCTGCCCTGGCTAAAATCCCAGTTTCTGTATCTACTGACTCTCCTGCCCCAATTTCTGTAGCCAAACCACTTTCTACTTCTGGTCAGATTTCAGTTTCTCAGCCAAAAGCCCACCCTGTACCTCCTGGTGCTCCTTGCCCTGTCACTTCTCTTCCTCCTACCCCTAAACCTCAGCCAAGTGAAGCTCCAGCCTCTGCTAAGCCTAGTGGAAGTGGACTAGCAACAGTGGATAGCCAATTGGCTAGTCCAAATGGCACAAATGGGGAGGGTGTGCAGACTGCACCGTGTAAAACCGAAGAACCACAGAAGGAGTCGCGATCAAGCCTCCAAGAGCCCCCTAGAGAAAAGAGAACACAAGCCAAAGCATCAGGGCTGAGCAAAATCCCTGTCGTGGGAGGAAGCAGAGTGGGCAGGCTACCTGTCCGGGACAGCCAGCAACATGCTGATGAGGAATCAAACAGAAATCCGCCCACACCCGTGCTAGAAGAAGAAAGACCCCATTTTAACTCACATGATGCAGGAAACAAAGATAAAATCAGTGCTGCAGAAGCCACCTCAAAACACACCCAGGAGGACAGTCAGCACCCCCAACACCAGAAAGTTCTCACCAGTTCAGCGCGTGATTCAAAGATCCCCGTGAAGCACGGTGCACAGACTCACGCTGCCTCCCAAGTCCCTCAGACTAAAGAACCCCCTCGCACTAAGATACCCGTGTCCAAGGTTCCTGTCCGCAGAGCTGGTACTAAACCTGCAGCCACAGGTGGCAGCGCCCAGATAAGGAAATAAGACAGTGGATTGAATCAGTCGACTGCAGATTACTGCTCTGACTGCAACTTTTTTCCAACATCACGATTTTTTAAACTTTGCATTCTATACTGTAAATCCTGGCTGGTCTTTCTGTCATCTCTTGGCTTCACTACTTCATAATCAACAAGAACAGAGTCAAGGAAACTGACAGCACTCAAGCACAAAACATCCCCGTGGGCAGCTGAAGCAACAAGCCCGGCTCTTTGGTGCTGAGCCACCCTAGACATGCACTCAGGAAAGGTTCGGGGTCACACCTGAACACAAAGCAGCATCGGTAACAAAGGATGAGCGAGATAAAAGGTCATAGGAACACAGTCTGTCTCTCTCTCTCTCTCTCTCACACACACACACCCTTTCACACAACATGGGCGAGTGCCTTTTTGAGGGTGCTTTTCCTACAGACTGTCAGAATTTTTTCAGTCTTTTCTACAGTACTTTTAACTTTTGTTACTCCCACTTTTTGTAGGAACCTTCAAGTCTTTTTTGTCTTTCTTTTCAGCAAGTCTCTTTGATAATAACCAATCCCTTTACCTTTTATTTATGCCAGGAGATGAACCGCAGGAGCTCTATAGATAAATGCAACAACCAAATTTTACATTCCACACCTTTCTCTGGATGTATGTAGCAGAAAAAAAACATGCCATGAAGTTTTTGCACAATATGTTGAACTGTACAGCGCCCGTGTGTCCACCTGCTCATATGTAACATACTCAGATCTCACTGTGAACTATGGGAGGGGCTGTGGTTTGAAAGAGTGGAAATTACTCCTCGCAATGAAATTGACAGTGGAGAGCAGCCATTAAAAATGGCATTGTGGACAGAAAGGATGGTGGGATGAGATCTCCAGCTCATGAACTGGCACATCTTTATTCCTGTCCCAGTTATACTCGGATGAGAACAGCATCTCTGTGTAGAGACTCATCTATGTTGTCCTGTTTCCTATTTAATCAATAAAACAATATGAGTACCTAACATGTGGGATCTGTTTAAGTTGTGAACTGCACACCGTTTTTCATACTGTTGTAGTTTTAACACGGGGAGATACGAACACATGCCTGCAAATAACTCGGATTATATGGAAGGAACGTGTAAATCTGAAATATAAGTAAAGGCTAAGAATCAGAGCAAAGAGAAGGAGTAATATTATATATTTTCCCTGACTGATCTTCACCATCTTACTGCAGTCTCAGCTTGTCCTCACAGACACATCATTCCAGCGTCATCCACACTCCAAGCTCACTGACCTGAATAGTGAGCACATGAATGCCAGCTGAGCCAGGCCAATCAGCTGCGAGGGAAAACGCTTAACATGCATAGCCTACCTTATTATCAAAGGGAAAAGGGTCTGGGAATGTGTGTCATTGCTATTCTTAGTGTAAAAACATACCTAATGGACATGCTGAATGATTCCACTCTGACTGAGTCGATGATTTGCTTTGGAGTTTAATATCACTGCTGATAATTTTATTACCAAACAAAAAGGAGGAATGAGCAACAAAGATCATTTATTAATGTTGCACGGAGACAGAAAATGCAAGAAAAATTTGACTGGTTAATAGCAGATGAAGTTAAAACCCCAGGTTAAGGATGGGAAACTGATCTGAGTCATGGGATGATGTTAAGAGGACTGTTGCGTTACGAAGAGGGAGCAAAGCCTGAATGTTCTTTTGATTTACAAAATGAGGATTGCAGAGGTGACACAAAAAGACCTCTGTTTGATTTTGAAAGCCAGAGGGCGCAGGCCGAGAAGAGAAAAACACGAGGATTGCACCACATCAGGTGTCGATGCAGGCTATCCAGGGCAACACGTCTCCCTGAGAAAGGAACAGTTGCTCCCTAAGGCCCTGATCCAACACATGTTTGCTTCCTGGCATAACACCTGCACACTGAGATTTAAACACTCAAATAAATGTCTGTAGATTTATAATCACGTCTGTCTGAGGAGGTATTGAGTTGCAGGCTCGCACTGTGCCACAAGGTAATAACGACATTATGCTCTCCATCACTGGAAAACACTGGTGAGATCCTGTGTACGTGAACGCTGCTTTGTGTCAGCATCCATTCACATGATTATCCAGCAGTCTGGATTTCATACTGTAAGTGAGAAAGATAACAGCCGAGAGCACCGCGCAACAACGGTGTGTGTGTGTGTGTGTTAGTGGAAAATACTTTTATGCTATGTTGTATGATCTGTCTCCGCAGTGTTTATACAGATTGTTTTGTCTGTTTCCGTGCACACAGTCTCGCTATCTCTGAAGACAGGCCCCCCCGCCCCAATTATTTAACACAAACTACAGCAGCCATAATGCACCGAGGCCAACCTGGCTTTCTGTGGCGTGTCTGTGTTTGTGTGTCTGTTTCTGCCTCTGGAGAGACTACGTGCCTCTTTAGAACCTAATTTAGCATGCTTCATTCTTTGTTTCCATGCCAACCCCACTAGGTCAACCAATAAAAGGCTGTGGTATTGGAAGGCGGGGTTTCAAACATGAGTGCGTTAATGAGCACATGAACAGCACATAAGACCAGTTATTAGATGCTATAAGGTTTAAAATTGAATTACACTAAGTTATTTAGTGGAATATAATATTTTATATCCTATATAATTATTTTTTTTTAGCACCAAAAAAAATTTATGGCACAATTTCTGAACTTTAAGTGACATTCTGGAGGCATTAGCAGTATATCTGCAACAGCTGTGTTGTGTTCCAATATTATCTTCTCATATTTGTTCCTTTATGTATTTATTTACAGGTGCTAATTGCAATACACACGTTTCATTTGTTTGCCTTTTCTAAATCTCCTTTGTATTTGAAAACCATTCACTTTTTTGGTTTCTTATCAGTTTGGTTCACATGCTCATTACTGTGTAAGCTGCATGTACTGTAGCGACACCACATTAAGAAATGATATACCTTTAACAATACGACTCATGATCAGAATTATTTATTTATCACACACGTTGAGTATAAAAATCTGTAGCATAGAGTTACTGTTTATAAACAAAATATAAAATATGAAGTGTATTCATAAAAATATATATATGTATATATAAATGCAGTAATTTCGGGGGTTTCAAGGCTTATGTTTCACACAGTGCACAACAGCACAAGGATGAGATGTTTACCTGGCAAACGCCTCTGGTCACAGAGAGACATCAACCAAAAAAGCAACAACTTCACCTGCAACACTGTCAGCTCTGCAGCCTGATCTGCACTCTACAGTGAGCCCTGCAGTCTGTAACCCGACAGCTCGTCACCTGGTGTGACAGTGATCTTTGATTATCAAACACAGCCAGAGAATACGTCAAATATTAAACACATTAAAAAAATCTGTCATTTGTTTTAGCACGATAAACTAGGCTTTACAAGTAAACAGATTAGATTGAACATGTAGATTATTAAAGCTTTCAATAATTACTCATATATACTAAGTGACTTTGGCCAGAGCAGATTACGTCATTCCAGTCTGAGGGCTCGCTGAGGACCTCTGCTGGTGAAAATGCAGATATGAAAGGTGTGAGGAACGTGGGTGATGCAGCACATACAGCATCACCGCTGCACGACATGGCTTCATTCACGTCAGGCCTGCAGCCACAGCTACAGACAGAGGAATCTAACTGCACTGTGGTCATTTTCTGCCTCTAGGAGTCAAATATTTGCCTAAAATTGCTAATAACTTAAAACAATAAAGTCACAAAGTGCGTACGATAATCCTTCACAAATTTAATTTGCATGTGTGAAGAAAAATGGTTTGTTCGTTTAAATGGAAGTGACCCACACGTAAGCATAAGTGAGCTTACGCTGGCAGCAGCATTCAAAGTGACTGACTTTAAAATGCAGTATGCTAATAATTGAATATTAGTGACGATATCGAAGTAATACATCAGAGGAAAAAAATTTCAGTCTGCCTAAAGGCGAGTGCAACCAGACTGCAGGTGGAAGAAAGCAAGAGGTGGCCACAGTTTACAGGAAGCTGTTGGACAGCCATACATCTGTAGTGAAGCAGCATTAGGGTGTACCGCAGTTTAGAAGGGTAGCTGATTAAACAGGAAGAGCGTACTGCGGAAAGAAAAACTGGAAAATGCAACAGCTACAGTTTTAAGTGCTGAAAGAAGTAAACAGCTTGATTATGAAACTATCATGCCACTTCTTTTGATCTACTTATACAAGATTACATTACAAAGTCTGTATTTGAGCAGAAGTTATGCTCAAGCTCATTTGTAGACAACTTCAAGTGTAAACTGAAGCTTATATTTTTTTTAGGTAACCTAGCAAACAATAATTGTAGCTCTGTTAGACCATGAAGTGCATGTGTCCTTCAGCACCGGTTACAATAACATCCATCCAGATACGCATGGCTTCAGGGGACGGAGCCACCATGTAGTACACCCGATCGTGGGTCTTCACACTGAAGGTCAGCGAGGGGTTGGGGCTCTTGTGTGTGGAAGTGAATGTCATTTTTGAGAAAAAAGTCAAATAATACAGAGTAAAGGAGAGGGGGAGGAGAAAAAAAGGACAAACAGGTGTCAATACTATACAATGCCACGTGGTAAAATGCCACGGATACACAAACACACGCATGTAAACGGACTCACTTTGTGTGCATTCTTTAAATGGTCATAGTACACCTCCTCTATGGCTTGGAAGTAAATGACGCCTTTCATCTTGGTCTCGTGTTTGTCTGCAGCCGGGAGTATAAACAGAACTGCTGTGTCAAAGTATCCTAGCGTAGCTCAAAGTTAGCAGCCATTGCTGCAGCAACTTTGTCGCACCAAAAAAGCTGCACATCAAAGTAGAGACCTAAAAGAAAGATACTCACCTGCATAGTAAGTGAGTGTCCTGCGATTGTGGTCAAAGACAAACCAGCGCTTCTTCCACGTCTTGATCTTTCCTCCCATTTTGACGAGGAACCCGCGACAGGTTTTGTCAGTGATGGCCAGATGGAAGCAGGCGTCTGGGTTGTGTCCGGCTGCTTCAATGTGGCCGTGAAGATCAAAGTCGTCTTTTCTTACTGGGTGGTATCTTGTCAACAGTCGGGACTGCGATAAAATTAGATGAAAGTAGACATTTTACTCGTCTTTATCTGAAATGTAGTTACACGAAGCTAATGTGAACTACAGATTGGATTTCAACATCTTCTCGTGAGTTTTTATGAATACCTGTGATCTCTGCTTCTCTCTGAGCTTCACCTCTCTCTCCACAAGCTTCTGTCTCCTGCTTGTTTCCTCCTGCAGCCGTTTCTCCAGTTCCTCTCTTCTTCTCCTCTCCTCCTCCAGAGCCTGCCTGCGTATCTCCATCTCCCGCTCCTGCACATGTAAGTAAATTACATTTATAATAAAATGCACACCTCCGACATGCAAGGTTACAATTTAGGTTAGATTTGGCTCAGTACTCGATGCTCGAGGAGTCTCAGCTTCTCGGCCTGGGCCTCGCGGAGCAAACGCTCCATCTCTTCAATCTTTGCCATATTGGAGGTACTGGCACTGATAATAAATGGAAAATACAAGCTGTCAGTAACAAATAGAACTATCAAAGAAAGAAGAAACTTCCTTTGATGTGTAGCTCATCGTGTTTCCTGTCTCTAACCTTGAGATGTTGTCTGGGGAGCAGGCAGAGAAGCTGGTTTCCAGGCTGTCAGAGCTGTCCACGCTGATGGTGTCTGACGTCTGGCTGTTGTCCGGGTAAGAGAAAGAGTCCAGGAAGACGTTGGGCTCAGAGACCAACCTGTTGCAAAAATCACTCTGTCTTTGCCTGTCTTCATTTATATGTGCGTGGCTGTTGCCTGCTGACAGAAGAAAATATTAAAATAACAAACTGAAAATACCATCAGGACACATGTTTGTTAACAGACAAAATCACATCCAAAGAGCTGCAATGCATTAACTACATGGCCAAACAGGATTAGCTCTTATAAAAACAGAGTAATCAGAGTAAAAATAGGCAATTGCACAGGTTACCTGGTGGTAACCTAACAAATGTGGTCTGACTCAGACTGCCTGTAATCATTCTCAGACAGTTTGGCAAAGGCTTGCAAATAATTGCTGTCTAATTTGTAAATGCAGACAGATTGCCAGCACGTTGCAATCAATCTAAGTCAGTCTGTGCTGATGAGTGCAGCTTGTCTGTGAAGTATCGTTGCAGTATTGCACTTGGCTCAACTCGTTGTATTCTGGTTATATTCCTATATAAAAGCAAGCTTGCTGAGCTCCTGAGTCCTTTTATAGTTAACCTGTCCCCATCACTACTTGTAGATGAGTTTATGAATTTATTTTTCAAATCTATGAGGTTCTGGCAGAATGTAGGTAGTAAGTGTAACATATTTACAATTTTTAATGTGCCATAACTGCCAACTCGACCCCATTCAAAGGCAAACTGAGAGCAGACAGACTGCATCTTATGATTATTTTATCACTGCCTTGATGCAAAAAATTGCAAAAGTGCTGTAATTTCGTTTTTTTCATTAAAGAGATTTGCATTTGTTTCTTGATTTGAAACAAGCAAAGCTAAAAATCCCAGTTTTCTTTCTTGTATAATGTAGCGTTTCTGTTCTGTGTTTTTTTTAACATCAGTTTTAGACTAAATGTATCTTGCTTTGTGCAGTGACACAGATTTTCAAAGGACCACAGCATTTCCTGACCTCACAGTCATACAGCCCCAGGAGCAGAGCCGATCTACTACTACAACTACTACCAAGAGGTTGACACAGATGAGACGGGACAGTGTGACTCACTCTTGGGCAAGCGGCGAAGGTTCACCTCCCGAGGGGAGAAGCAGAAGCCTTGTGGGATGACACTGCCACAGCTTGAGCTTTGGGACAAAGGAAGGTGAGGCTGAGAGGGGAAACAAGAGCACACGTGCTTTTTAGGACTGCATTGTATAGCTGTATATCTCAGATTTCTGTAAAGTTATATATTTCATATTCTGTATAGTTTTTCATATTTTTATTTCCTGTTCATATCCTGTACATACAGTAGCTTGTACTCACTACAGCCTGTACATACCTATAGTTATAGAATATTCACAACATACTTCATACCGTGTACATTATAACATACCATAATAGACCCATTTCTGTAATATACTTACATATCTATATTATTCCTAATATATATTGTAATATATCTATATCACTAAAGCACTTCTGGATGGATGCAAACTGCATTTCGTTGCCCTGTACCTGTGCATGTGCAATGACAATAAAGTTGAATTCTATTCTATTCATTCTTCAACATTTACAGAAATGCAAACTTCATGAGCTGGATGGATGTTGCAACCCAGACTGAAACTGAGAATTCCTGTTTGGGTGGATCATTCTCAAGGGATAAACAAATAACTAGGGCAAAGCATCTGCAGGCCAGAATCTCCATGAGCACAATCATTTTGAAAGTACCACTGCAAATGTTTTAAAAAGTCGACACGCTAAGTGCTCTTTAACATAGCAGACTGAGGGAGCAAGCATTAACTTCCAGTTTGAGCCAACCTTTTCCGTCTGCTCAGATTTTCTGAAAAAACCTAAAGACCTTTGGAGGAAGCGTGCGTCCGAGGGATCTGCCATAAGTGGTGAGCAGCTGCTGGCTCCTTTTATGAGGTTGACTGTCATTTGGATGTGATGAATTTTCCTTGCTGCTTCTCCGTCTTTCCTTCAGAGTGTGCAAGTGCTGCACAGAAATCAGAGCAATGAAAAGGAGAAATAGGATTTTTAATATTAAAAACCTAAAGCTGCACTGTTTGTGCCACTGACTCCTACCTCTTTGAAGGCCACAGGATTGTTAGCGAAGGTCTGCCCCTCAGACAGCTCTGCATACTTTCCTTCCAAAGACACCAATCTCTCTCTCTCCTGCAGACATGAGGCACTCTTTAAGTAAATAAAACCGAAGGCTGTGTTTACAATTGTAACATTCAGAGAATTTTCAAACCTTCTGAAGCATGACGAGCAAATTGTTCTTCTCTCTCTGGAAATTCTCCCGTTCCTGCTGAGCCTGTAAAGTAATCTGAGATGACTGTTTCTTGAGCGTCATGAGTCTTTCCTGTGAGAAATAAGGAGCGCAGCATTAGTACACATTACATATGTCAGCGTTCACAAAGCGCGAGGCAGAAGAACGCGGTAAAAATTAAAAGCAATGCAGAGATATTGAGAAAGTAAGGCAGAAAATTCTAATAAAGGCAGTTCAGTTTCTGGGATATACTACACCCTCTTTATAAGCAAATATCTTTACCCAGTTCCTGTGCCCTTTCTGGGTTTTGATACTCAATAAAAAAAAGTGTTCAGTTGGCCTTCAGCATTGCATGCTTACCATTGATGGTTTCCTGCAATTAGTTCATGCTTTGTGCTGCAAATCTCATAATTTTGAAGCTTTATTTTCATGCAAAACCTGCAGTAAGATTAATGACAACAGACCACAGTGTAGTAAATTCAACAAAAATACAGAAAAAAAAGCACATTTACAATCATCACTAAAAAAACGTGTTTGCTTTTTACCTTCAATTGTGTAAAAATGCACTTTTTAAAGTCACTATTCATTATGTGTATATAATATCTGTAACAGAGTCCCTCTAGAAAAATAATATAAAATGTTTTTTTTTAAAGAAGCCGTGCTATTTGATAGTGTCCATATTCCTGTGTAGGCCAGACTTAAAAATTGCACACCCTAAAGATCTGAGTTAAGTTTAACATCTTGTTAGGATTAATTCTGCCACAGTGCTCCAGTTATTAAAGTTACTGAAGAAAAATACAGGTTAGGGTGTTACGATGTCGGGTGAGTTATACATGCACCACATGCAGCATGCACACTTCTATAACTTCACATGTTGTACCTTGCGGGTGACAGTAAGGCGCTGACAGTCTGCGATCTCTCGCAGCAGCTCTTGGCCCTGATTCTCTTTTTCCTCGTCCTGCTTAATTTCTCTCTCCAGCTTCTGAAACTCCAAGTCCTCCAAACTTTTTGACTGCTCCTCAGTCTCCTGAGGAGCAACCAGGAAACATAAAAATTCAAACCATGTGAAAGAGTAAAACTTTGGGTAAACTGCTTTAACAGAAATCTATGAATATACAAAGTATAGTTGTTGTTTTTTAGCTCAGTTTACTGAAATCCTAATTAGTGGAATACTAGAAAAATACTTCTCAGATTTCATAACAAACCTAACCCTAGGAAATAATTCACTGCATTTCTTGTCATTTTTACCTGTGACTTCTCAGTGTGGTTCATTTTCTCAACATTGTGAATTTTTCCCTTGAGCTGCTCCAGAAGCTCCTTATCCCTCTGCAGCTGGGCCATCTCCGACTCTTGTTCTCCTTCCAGCAGAGCACACTCCACCTCCATCTGCAAGAAGTAGCAACGCAAGGGTGACAATATCCCTTTGGACTCATTTTTGGACTAGTGCACTGAATAGGACATTCGCAGGATTTCAGCATGATGCTCGCTTCATCAGTTTTTAATCTGTGGAGCCTGAGTTAACTTACAACTTTATTATTTCTAATCAGCAATGATTACTCTTCCATTGATACTTTCCAATGAGCTTTTCTTAATAACACCTAGTTTTAAATTTAGACAAGCCCACAGCAGGGTGTTTTCCATCTCTATCTGTGACCCTGACCATCCAGCAGTTATAAAGTCACCAGTTTTTAATTCTCACTGAGTCTCACAAACACCTAACACTTTTATTTAAGATTCATTTACCTGCTTGTATAGAATTAAAACATGTGTCCTTCCAACTAAAAGTACCCTGCAGTCGACCTCCATGGATATATCCCGTATTGTCATGCTGCTCCATCAACACTCCAGCAATTAAATAGAGTAAGGAGTATTATATGTGCACATGTCTTCGTCTGAAAGGTTCTTTCATCTCCAGAAAAGCGGATTAGCTAAATATTTTAAAATGAAGAACAAACTATTCGTGTTTGTGCTGCACTGTGCCGTCTACCTCTCGAAGAGACTCCTCCATCTGGTTGTCCAGGTCTTTGATCTTCTGCTCGAGCTCTTCTATGTTATTCAAAACTTGGATTCTTTCTTCCTCTATGTGCGTTACTTCCTGTTTCAGCTGCACGCTCTCCAAAGCCTGTAACGACATCAGGAACGCAGATAAATGCTCGGCTCTCCAGGAGGCTGCGCATTGTGTAAGTACAAATATACAAACAAAGGTCCCCGATCAAATGGAAAAAGAGACTTTATGCAATTACACAAAAAACAACAGCTCTCTTTTTGCTGTGTAAATTATGCTGATATACTTTGCCTCCGTGCAGAATCAGGTTTTATTGAATTAGACGACAGCAGCTGCTGTTTTAACTCATCCAAGCTGGATCAGTGACAGCAGGGATTCTTTTCCGCTGGCCGTAATGGAAATCTCTATCAGTGCACTTCACCACCACTCATGCTAAAGCACGCCCACATACTGCACCATCGACCACCACCCTGCAAACACTCATTCACAGTCATATGTAGGTGTATTCGAGACATCCTGTAATATCAGTAATATCAGGTATTCTTCCCTTAAGGACCTATGTTGATTTTTTTCTCTGGACAGATGCTCATGTGAACAACAGCTCTAGTTTTCCAGATCGGTTGTGAGTGCTCTCTTTTCACTGCACACAAAGCTCTGAGGAATGCAGGAGATGGCAGAGAGGGTATTTGGAGTCTGTAAACCTCTGTCACGACTGACACATAGCAGAAAATAATAGCATCAACTTGGAAACCTAATTTTATAACCGTGTGTTTACATGACAGCTGGATCTGCTACATTACCTGGGTTAATTATAATTACATTTTTTTGGAACATCTTCCATCCATTTATCCTCAGCAGAAAGTTCAAAACATCTGGAAAAACGCATGGCTCTGCCACACATATACACTAGCATTCTTCCAATCACACAACTGCACAGAGCTGCGCACACACACTCACACACACACATATGCGCATGCTAATGCTCTGTGGGATAAAGTCATTTCCTGTCTCCTCCCCCCCAACAATTTGAATGACTGAAACAAAACTAGGACTTCTTCATTAAAACCAGACACAACCCTAGGTTGTTGCTGCTCGAGAGTGGAAAAGAAACTGGCCTAGTGGTCTGGCTGGGAGCCTAAACTCCAGTATTTGATATATTTGATTTCTTTTATATTTGTACCTTAAACATGTTCATCTGGTTATTAGTTTGCAACACATCTATAAAATAGTAGTGAGAGAAAACATCAAAGCTGTGAGAAGATTGTGCGTAACTGAGAAGATTGTGCGTAACTGTGATTTCTCTGTTTATGTCTGAACAACCCACATAAACATAAACTGAAACTATCAGCACACACTTACAGTAGTTATAATAGAATGCCTAATAGTTGTTATAATTATCCTTCCTTAAAGTTTGGGGGACTGCACACATCATTTTTTAAAGCTCTGACACAATTTTGTCATGCAGTACTGTGCATGTTGGTCTTGATCCACTTACTTATTTCTATATACGTTGCTAGTAAAATGGGAAATAGGTGCAGAAATGTCTGCAAACATATGGCATATAGAAATATAGTACAGACATAAGGCAAAAACAGAGGAAAAGTTCTCCACGCTTCTTGAAGGACATTCAAAGCTCAGAGTTCAGTGTTCAAAGTTGAGAAACCCTGGAGAACTATTCAAAACAGCTCGAGACAACTTTAAATATTACAAGCGAGTCTGGCTCTGTGGAAGCAAAACATAAAGAAATGGGTGGCAGCTCAAAACTTTGACCCACCCCTCATTTCTTTATGTACTCTTTCAACAGAGTTCAAATACAAATATTTGGTCTCTCTAGAAAACTTTAAAACAAGGTTTTAACTGAAGTTTGGAGGAAATGTGGGATGGGAAAACTTGGATTGAAAAAAAAAAGCACTCTGATATATAAACGGACAAAGATAAACAAGCAATCAGGAGTCAGATTAACTGCATTCCACAGAAGTGTGTGTTCGCTCCTCAGTCACTGTGAAAGTCATCCAGGAAGTAACCAGGGTAAAGATAAATAGCTTTTCCAAATGTCCAAATGTATCACTCATTATTACATCAACAACCTGCAAGAACTTGTTAGTTTATTCTGTTAGTATAAAGTAATACAATTTTTCTCTTTTCACCAAGTGACAAATTTTTAAAGCAAGTGATCAATTTTCATAACAGGTAAATATAGTGAATGGTACATGGACTGGTTCTTATATAGCGCTTTTCTACTCTTCAGCACTCAAAGCACTTTACACAACTTGTGCATTCACCCAAGCACATTGTTCTTAGTAACATTCACACTCCGATGGATGCATCGGAGAGCAATTTGGGGTTAATATCTTGCCCAAGGATATTTGGCATGCAGACTAGGAGTAAGCCAGGAATCGAACCACCAACCTTCCGGTCAGTAGATGACCTGCTCTACCGCCTGAGCTACAGCCACCCAGTGTGCTTTAAAATTAAGCCGAAGGGAGAGAGAGCTCTCTCACCTTTCATTGTGTGGTTACAGTTACTGAGAAGATGAGCTTTTAAGTTCAAATGTACCAGGGGCATGAAGGAGTCTTCCAACTGGTTAAAAAGGCCTTTTGCCAACCAACAGTGCTACTTTAGGTTCTGAAGCTATTTCTAATAAACCTTCAGTAAGCTATAGGCTTAGCAACAAAGTTAGCAAAGAAGTAGCGTTAGCAAGTAACAGATAAACATGTAGTTCAATATAAATATTCACATATTTAGGAGATGAGATGCCAAAAAAGATGCACTTTTAAACTTTTAAAAATTCAAGAGACCAGAAAAATACCCTAAATTTAGCTCCCTCTATGCTTGATAGATAACTGTTTGCTAACTTGTTAGCTAAAAGCCTTAACTCCAAAGGCTAGTTGTGGAGTAACACCAGGAAGCACGCTTAAAAGTAATGGAGATTCAAAGAAAAAAAACTTACCAAATTTACCAAATTACAGCAGTAAATTTGCAAGAAACATCTCCCTGACATTCAAGTCCTAGATTTATGAGAAAAATAAATTACCTTACTGCCAAGGTGGGAAATTAATTTTCCCAAACTGGGATTGCTGTGGGGGGCTACATCAATAAACTTATAAAGAGATCAAATTAATACTTAGCAGAACTGAGTCCAGCTTATTGGTGCGGCAGCCACAAGACTCTCAGTTTCTCATGAGGCCCGATGGGAAAATACAAGTTCCCAGCCCTGCTTCACAACCTCACTAATATTTACCACTGGGAAACAGTGAAATCTGCTTACACTTAGTGTGTAAGTGTAGCAGAAGTAGACAAAAGCTATAACTACACCTGAATCAATATAGTTTTTCAGAATATTCATGCAGCGTCTCATTAAAGTGTGGATATGATGCTGACTGCAAATTAGACTTTGGATGTTCATCGACTGTAGGCAATGTGACATTAACTTTATATCATTGTGGGGTAACCCCCACAGTTTGTATGACTCCATAAAACCAAAAAACAAAGGAAGTCTTTTCTTATTTATGTAAATTTCTCCTTAGAAAATTCCAGTAGTTTTTCTCTCAGACTCTTCCGACCTCCTGACTACTAGAAGGACAAAACTGTACCACTGAACTCCATCATACATGTTACAAACTACAAGATACTTCAAGAATAATAATGAAAACTGCACAACAACAAGTAGATTTATTCTTTCTGAATACTTCAGTTGATACCATCATTTTCTAATAAACTGATTATATTATTTCTTTTTCCTAAACTTGTGGTTATAAAAGAGAACGGGTTCTTTGGACTTACTTTGGCTCTGTGATGCATAGAAGGCGAGGGTGCACTGCTGTTGAGACTGATAGCAGGTGAGTGGGATCTGGCCTCTCTATAGCCGCTCTGCTGACGCTGGCTGGCCTGCTGCTCCTCAGAGAGTTGGAAGTCTCTGGCTTTGGCTCCAAAGCAGCTCTCTTGAGCTGTGCTGCTCGGAGAGTCGGAGAACACTGAGTCATCGTCCGACACCTGCAGCTTCTCCAGCTCCTTATTGATCTTCTGCAGGTCAGAAACAGCTGATCCCGCTGGCTCTCTCGTTACCTGTCCCAACTCAGTGCACAGGTTTAAGATGGTCTCTAGACGCTGGCATTCCTGCAGATAATTGATTGATATTTGGTTAAAATTATTCCAAGAAAATATTGAACTGATTACATTTTCAGACAGGTGTATGAATAAATTGTTAAAGTGAAATAAAAGTGCACAAATTTGGGTAAAAAGAACTCACTAATCTCTGCACTTTCTGCTCCCTGAGTCGCTCATCTCTCTGATGCTGGTGGTAGTCTTTGAGCTCCTCTTTGCCATTCAGAGAGGTGATGCTGCCCACCCGTTGTCCCGGACTCAAACCACTCTTCCCAAAGGACAACCTCCTCTCTCCGATGCCCAGATCTAACCCCGTCCCATCAATCTCTACTCCCATAGAGCTCAGAGAGGCCAGGCTAGCCCTCCTGGGTGTGCTGGGCATGCTGGCTGGTACTGTCACATCTGGAGGCTGCTCCAGAGAGGAGAGACTGCGCCGGTTTCCTGCAGAGACCACTCGGTGGGAACCTACTGAGTGGCGTAACGGCAGTGACAG